CAGGGCAGTGTGCAGGGGGCGCCTGGTTTCATGATGCGCCTTGGGTGTCTTTCGAAACTGCGTCCCTGTAGTTCTTTAATAAAACTAAAAACCAGAAGACAAAGGAGGCCCGGGGGCCTGCCAGGGCCACAGCTCCCGAGAGCCGGCTCCTGTGGGGCTCCGGGGCCTGGAGCTGCTGCCCACACCGCGCGACCGGCGCCCACCTTCCCTCGGGCCTGTGGGTCCTGGGCTGGTGGCCCCAGGCCTGTGGGTGCGGCTGCCTGGCTGGCAGCAGAGGTCACGCCCGGCAGTGCTCGCCAGACAGGTTCCTATTTGGGCTCCTTCTGCCTGGAGCAGACTTTGACCTCCCTGGGAGAGGCCGTGCCGGCGCGGAAGTGCCAGCTGCCGGTCTGGCAGCGCTTCTTGGAAGAAGGGGCCGGAGGGCTCAGACCTGGGCAGAGGGACGTGGCCTGGGGCCCTGGTAGGGAGGAGGGACGGGACGGGGCAGGAGGCTCTGGGGAGCTTTGGCGCCGAAGGCATTTGTTTGGGACGAAGGACACAGTCCGTGGTCAGAGAGTCACGTCTAGAATGAAAGGACGGCGCGGGGTGCGGGCGGTCCACTTCCGGCTGCCCACTGGGGCGTTGCGCTTGGCTGTACAGAGATAAGTCTAAGGTAAACCGAGTTCTGGGCCAGCCTGAGACGCAGACAGGCTGCCGTGGTTGGGTGATCCCGGGGTGGTGAGGACCTGCCGGGCCGGCCCCCGGGGGAGGCCTGCTGTGGCCGCCGTTGTCACCGCCCAGGGATTCGGAATGTCCTGAGGAATGTGTCCTCCCGGCTGGCGTGGGGGCAGCCCCTCCCGAGGCCTGGGAGGCTCCACGAACCCACCTTCCTGGGGTGGTTTTTACAGAGAACTCGTGTCCTGAGAGGCTTGGTGGCCGTCGGGGCTGAGTGGGACTGAGAGCCAGCTTCCTGCAGTCGCTCCGATGGTGCTGGTTTAGGGTCGGCTTTGTGGCCCCACCCGGCCTCCCTGCAGGGACTAACTCCGGGCTCATGACTCTGAGCCTAGTTTTCCCACTAAAAAATAGTCTCTACTCTCCAGAGACTGCCGTGGTTCTCACACGGACAGTTTGGGGGAAACCAGAGGCATCTGGACGCGGCCGTCCTCGGTTTTATGAGAATTAAAGGGAAAAGAGTTAAAGGAGCGCGTTTTCTCTGTGTTACGTTCTGCTCCTGCGATGATGTTCTCCTAAGCTCCGGCGCCTTCCCCGAGTGTCACGCAGCATCGGGAAGGCCGGGTCGTCTGCTATTTGGCTCGGCCTTGGTCACCGCAGCACTGACGTGGGCCCCGCGGCCAGCCAGGCCATTTCAGACCCTTTGCGCATCTGGCTCCCAGACACGTCCCCACACCCTCGGGGGGCTTTGTCCTCCCGGGGTCTGTTTCACAGATCTCGAGACCCAGCACAGAGCGGGGGCATCACTCGCTCCCTGACCACACGTCCCGGGCGGGGCCGACCCCTGACAGGTGTGGGAGCCCCTGAGCACAGAGGAGGGCGGACCCTTGGAATGGGCCGGTGGGAGAGGCCCGGCCTGCCATGGGCAGCAAGGGCGCTGAGGACTGTCCTCACCCTGGCCGCACCACGTGCTGTCACTCGGGACGTGATGCGGAGGCCACAAGTGGCCCTGCAAGGTGCTCAGGAGCAAACCTTCCGTGGACTCCTGCTGCGTCCCAGCCCCACACATGGCGGTCACCCGGGGACCCTGGCCGCGGCGCCATCTGAGGCACGCTCCCGTGGCCGTGGCAGCAGGGCGGGCGCCAGTGGAGACTTTCGAGCAGGCTCCCAAAGGCTGTCCCGGGACCGCACCGCACCCCAGGGTGCAGGGGGGCAGCCCTGCCTCCTGCCGAGAAGGAAGGAAGTGAGACATGTCGGGGACCGTCACAGCAATACCCGGCCTGGGCCTGCAGGACAACGGGGTACAGAGTGTCTTGGGGACACACGCTGCCAGCAGGGATGGGCCAGGGCATCCTGGGTGGGGGCGGTGACTGGGCCACAGTGAAGCCTGTGGAGCAGCTAGTGCCCGGCGCTGGGCGGCACGTCTTGGGGCCGTGGGCTCGGGGTCGGTGCTCTGCCGCCGTCACACCTGCACGGTGACAAGTGCCATCCCTCTCGGCCGAGGCTCCTGTGGCTGGGTTGTCAGCCCCATTCCGAGTGCCGGAGGGTGGAAGGGTGCCCGCGTGTTGCCTGACGTAGGGAAGGTTTCGGAGCAGCCATGCAGGGTCGTGCCACCGCGTGGCGTGGCTGAGAGAGGGGGCTCGGACAGGCCCGGGCTCGGGTCCTGGTCCTGCCGCATCCCCACGGCGTCCCCAGGCAGGTCTCCAGCCTCGACTCTTCACTTAACATGGGATTGGACAGCCTGCGCCTCCAGGGAGCACATGGGCTGATGTGTCCCCCACCCCCCGCGCGGCCCGGCCTGGGGCTCTAGGAGGCCTGAGGGGGGCGGAGGCTGTGGTCAGTGCTGGGTTGTGTGGTGCCGGTCTCGGGAAGCTCCCGTGGGTAGCGTTACTGTCCTCTGACCACCAGGAAGTGCCTGCTGTGAGCCGGACCCCAGCCTGGGTCTGTGGGGCTCCAGGGCCTTGTACCCCGAACCGCCCCACGCTCACCCCCGGCTCAGGGACTTTCCTGGGCCTGCTGCCCATGGAGAAGCAAGGTGTCCCCCCGTCCCCAAGAGCTCCAGAACCAGCACCTGCCCCAGCCCGACAGGCGCCTCCGCCCTCAGAGGAGCCCCTCCTCGGGGTAGGTGGGGGGCTGTCGCTCGCCCTCCTGGGGCAGGCTCCTGGTGACTGGGCCTGTGCCGCTGACCCACTCTGCGCCTGCTGGGTCACCGTCCTTTGCACAGCGGGGCTCTGGCCAGGGCAGATGCTAAGGAGCAGGCGGGGTGGACTGCTGGGAGGGACGGGGAGAGAGGCCCTCTCGAGACCCTTGCTCTGCCCTCCGCCAGGACCCCACGGCCCAGCATGGCGCAGCGGCACTCGGACAGCTCCTTGGAGGACAAGCTGCTGGAGTACCGCTTCCACTCGGAGCTCCGGCTCGACGCCGATGGGAACCCGGCCTCCGGGCTCCCCCTGGTGCGGAGGTCCCTGCGGGCCAGGGACAGTGCTGCCTTCCAGCCCGAGGCCCCGGCACCCCCAGGGGACGAGGAGCCGCGGCCCGTCATCCTGAGCACGCAGAGCCCCGCGGCCCTCAAGATGGGCACCCAGCAGCTGATCCCCAGGAGCTTGGCCGTGGCCAGCAGGGCGAAGACCCCCGCCCGTCACCAGAGCTTCGGGGCAGCCGTGCTCAGCAAGGAGGCCGCCCGGCGGGGCCCCCCTCTCCTCACGGCCCCCAGCTTCTCCCTGGATGACATGGATGTGGACACGGGCCCCGGGGGGATGCCAAGGCGGAACCTGCGGAACCAATCCTACCGGGCGGCCATGAGGGGCCTGGGCAAGCCTGGTGGCCAGGGGGACTCTGCCCTGCTGAGCCCCAAGCTCCAGGCTCTAGCCGAGGAGGCCAGCCAGCCTCCTGCCCGGCACCCAGCCAAAAACAAGGTAGGGGCCACCGCCTGGACGGGGGAGGGGCTGGTAGGCTGGGGTGTCCCGACCGTCTCTGTCACTGTCATCTTCTACACCACTGCAGCGGCCACTTAACACCTTCTGTGTGCAGCTGTTTTTTGTTATGTTTTGTTTTTGACATGGGGTCTCGCTCTGTCACCCAGGCTGGAGTGCAGTGGCATCGTCAGCCCACTGCAGCCTCCAACTCCCAGCCACAAGCCACCCTCCCGCCTCGGCCTCCCAAAGCGCTGGGACAATGGGCATGCGCCACCGCGCCCGGTTGCGTGCAGGCTCTTGGCGGGTTTAGCCCCGTGAAGCCCAGCGGCCAGGCCGTGGACGTGGTCCCCACTTCACAGACGGGGCAGCTGAGGCTTGGCAAGGCCGGGGGTCTTGCCCAGGTGCCCCGAAACTGGCGTGCCCCCTCCCAGCCACAGTGGAGAGCGGAGCCTTGGGGTGGACGCCTCTTTCCGAGCCCCCGTGGGAGCTGCCTGTGTGCATGGCAGGGTTCGGTGATGACCTTGCGGCAGTGACCAGCCGGGCTCTGTGTGCCCCGCTGCCTTGAGCTCGGCCAGTCTGCACGTTCCTCTGCACACCCACTTCCCTGCCCGCCGTCGAGGCTCTGGGGCTGGGGTACAGGGCAGTGTAGCCTTCCTGGCTGGTGATGCAGTCCCAGCTGCACGTGTCACTGGGCCTGGGGACTGAAGGAACCAGCGGGTACTCCTGGCCCCATGTCCCTTGCCCTCTGAGTTGCCCTCCTCCGAGGCCGCAATCCAGGCCTCTGTTGCTGGCAGCCGCAACTGGAAGAGCCGCCTGGCACCTGGGCACCCCCTGCTTGGTCTGTACCTGGGCCTGGCAGGGGGCTCGGGAGGCCAGCTGGCCAGGGCCCGCCAACGGGGCCTTCTCAGGAATGCAGACCAGAAGCAGCTCTGGCCCGGGGTGTCTCTCGTACACCTGTCTGGAGAGCAGCCCCGGCTTGCGGCTGCTTGGTGAAGGGCTGGGGGCACCCACTGCTCGTGACCCTGGCAAGGTGCTGAACCTTGGGACCCTGGGCTTCCCCACGTGTGAGTGGAGGTGACAGTCCTCCTCGGGTGGTCTGGAGAGAACAGAACTCGGCTACCTGAGTGCCAGGCAGTGTCCGCAGAAGGGCGTGCCCACTGGGGCCTCTTCCTCCCGGGTGCCCTCCCGGCTGCCGCCTCTGCCCGGGCTCCTGCCCCCACTGAGCTGCAGCCCCGGCCTCAGGAGAAGCTGAGACCACCCGTCAGGACGGTGGCCACCCTGCATGCCGTGGGGCAGGACCACGACTTTACACTGGAGGCTGATGGTGGCTGAGGTGGCCCTGTGTCTCCTTGGTCACGGCTGCCCCCTGCCACGGCCACCTGAGATGCCCAGACCCCCACATCACCTCGGGACCTCTGCTGCAGGTCCCCACACCCCAGAGGCTGGGATGGCGGCCCCACCACTCTGCACCCACCCAGGGCCAGGCCTGCGGGGCTCCCTTCGCTCATTCACTCACTCGCTCACTGTGGACTCACGCACCCAGCAGACGCTTCCTGCTGCACGCCTGGTGCCAGGGTGAGCCCAGTGGGCTCGGTCCCCGTCCTCGGGGTGCTCCCAGGGCAGTGGGGCTGCTGAGGGCTGGGCTGGGCCAGCTCAGGGGGTGATGGGAGCGCAGAGGAGGGGGCTCCCCTGGCCTTGGGGCCTGGGAGGGGCCTGGAGCAAGGAGGGTGAGAGCGGAGGCATGAGGGGCGGGGCTGGGGGGCGGGCGGCGGACATAGGAGGGGCGGAGGCAAAAGCTCCAGCCAGACCTGGAGGCGGCGGGGTGGGGTGCCGGGTGCAAGGCTCAGGGCGTCCGCCGGGTGCAGCTAGGAGCGCCGCACGCTCTCGACCAGCAAGGGGAGTTGTCAGGTCCCAACCAGTTCTGAGAAACCAACCCCTGCTTTCCGGGAACCGAGCACGGGTGAGGTCGGGGAACGTGGTGTGTCCCAGCCAAGGCAGGGGGGCGTCGAGCTGGGCACCTGCGGTGGGGGCGCCGGTCGCCTCCGCCGTCATCCTCAGCTGCTGGGCCCACGCCAGGCGCCAGGCACTGACCAGCCAGTCCCTGCTCTTCTGCTACTCTAGGTTGTGGCCCCCGAGGGGCTTGCGTACAGCCCCGTGTCCCTGTTTGGCCCTCGCCCAGCCGCACCTGCCCAGCCTTGGGCTTCCCTCGGGCCCACTGGGGTCTCCGGGCCCACAGCCCGATCTCCTAAGCATCTCCTCTCGACGAGCTCCACCCTTCCTCCTCCTCCAGGCAGCCCTCCTGGACCTGCCCTGCCTGCTCTGGGCCCCCACCCCACCTGTCTGGTCTCCACTTGGCAGACCTTGTGGAGCTGATGTTTATTGAGCACCTTCTGCATGGCCGGCATAACCCCTCCATCAGGCGTGGCTTTGTGCATGGAGCTGGGAGGCCCTGGGTCCCAGAGCAGCAGAGTTGCACGCAGTAGGCCCACACTGCCCTCCCCGCCGACTGCCGCTGTTTTGTCTCGTTTGCACAGAAGACGCTGGGGCGGAAGCGTGCACAGAAGGGCTCCTTCAAGGACGGTGAGTGTGGCTTCAGCGGGCGGTGAGGGCCAGGCCTGGCCAGCTGGAGCTGGGCTCACCGGGGGCGTCCCTGGGGGTCAGGTTGGCCCTGGTTTGGTGGCTCCGAGGACCTGTGTATGGGATCACTTCAGAGACAGGTTCTGACCTCCCCATGGCTGGTCTGACTGTGCAGCTCTGATGGATCTAGAAAGGTCTAGAAAGTTCCCTGGGACTCCCTTCTGTATGGCCCCAAAGCAGGGGACAGACAGAGCCCCGACACCCACCCTGAGCACCCTGGCACATGCTGGTGGGACCAAGGCCAGATGAGGCACCCACACCCCGTACTCCCCGGAGTCCTCACAGTCGAGGGGTCCCATGTGGGGGTCAGGCGGGGGTGGGGGATGGCGGCACATCCAGCCTGCTGAGGGGAGGACGCCAGGGCACCCCACGGGGAGCTGCGGGGCCTGCTGGCCAGGATGGGGCGCCCGGCGGGTGTGGAGGAGTCGGGGCCTCGAATGTCCAGCTCCGGCCTGGCCTTCGTCGAGAGGCTCTGAGACGCGGGGGCCCACGCCGGGAAGGGCCTCTGTCCCTGCCGGTCCCCGGAAGCGCTGTGGACGTCCGTGGGCCTGGGAGTGGGGATCCGGCCTCCTCCACAAAAATCTCAGGGAAGAGCCACCCCAAGAGGGGGTAGCAATACCACAGTCTGGGGTGAGGTTGGCAGAGGTGCCCTAAGCTGGGGACTAGCCCGTCCCAGGGGGGGCTTGCCACGTAGGAGGGCTCGGGGCTGGCACCAGCACCCTCCAGCCCAGCCTGGGCACAGGCCCCACCCAAAGCCTCCCTCCCCCCGAGCCAGGCGTGCTGGCCGCTGTGGGTGCTGGTCTGACTCTGGTCTGAAGGTGACTGTCCTCTCCCCAGACCCCCAGTTCTACCAGGAGATCCGGGAGCGGGGCCTAAACACCAGCCACGAGTCTGATGACGATGTGCTCGATGACCCCTCCAGCCCGGAGGTGACCCGGAAGGTGGACACCGCCATCGTGGTCAAGAGCTACCGGCCCGCCCAGGTCACCTGGAGCCAGCTCCCAGAGGTAGGGCTGGGCGGGGGGTGAAGTTGGCCCCCAGAGGCAGGTGGGGCCCCAGGAGCCCTGGTCGTTCCTCCCTCAGCCCGCGCCGTCACCCTGGAGGGACATCCCTGCTCAGACGGACCTGCAGGGAGCTGTGGCCACAGGGGACCCCTTCCCAGGGCCATGCCCCCTGGAAGGCTGGAGGGTCCGAGGGAGGAGGCAGCTGGGAGGGGCCGGGGCCAAGCCACCCCCCTGGCTTCCCACATCTGAAGCAGCCTGTCCTGCGCTGCAGGGCCGCGGGGCTGTCAGTGGAGGGTGTGGCCCGGGCAGTGGCCCATGCACGGGGGAGGGCCCAGCTGGCTGTGGGCGGACAGACTCGTGACCCCAGTGAGCCGCGGGTGTGGCAGGCGGGGGGCGAGGGGGCCTGGCTTTTCTTCATCTGCAAGACGATGGGGCTCCTTGTTTGCCATCCCCGGGGAATAGGGTTGTGGCCCTGTGACCGCCCACCACGCCCCACTCTGCTGCCTGCCACGGGAGCCCAGCCAGGGCCGGCCCCCGTGGGGGTAGGGCAGGCGGGGGCTGCCTCCCCACAGCTGGAAAGGTCTGGAAGTTTACTCCTGCGCTGGGAGCTGGGGGTGTGTAGTCTCCCTGGCCTGAGGTGAAGTCCAGGACACAGCACCCGGTGACACTGCCCCAGTCTGAGCCCCTGCCCAGCCCAGTGGGGAGGAGACCCTGGGCCCTGCAGAGAGGGTACTCCGGGCAGTGTGGCAGCCCCGCCCATCCTGGGTGCTCCATGGGGACATAGTGTGGCTGTGCCGTGCCCAGTGAGCCCTGCTGCAGCCTTGGCAGCTGCTGGCCGCGGGCCCCAAGTGGGGAGCTCGGGCAGGGCCACAGGCTGGCACAGTATTGCTGGCACCCACTCGGCAGGGCACGACTCACCTGGCCCAGGTGGGATCTGCGGCACGGGCCGCCCTCCATGCTGGCCCTCCAGTGCTGGTAGACAGAGGTGGGCTCTGCGCCTCTCCAGCCCCTCCCCGCCCTCTGGCCTTTCCCTCTGGATGCTCCTAGATGCAGCCTCAGGGAGGTTTCCAGGGAGAGGAAGATGAAGGTGACGGCTGCCCGCAGGACACGCCAGCTCCGTGGCCTGACTTCACATGTTCTGGGAGGGGGTGGCTCTGCCTGGGCCCCGCCTCCTCTGGGTCTCTCTGTCCTCCACGTGGGCTCTGGGCCTGAGGGAGGAGGACGGGAGTGGCACCTGGCCCAGGCTTCCAGGACGTGCAGCTGCAACCCCGGCCTGTGCCCTCCGCAGGTGGTGGAGTCAGGCATGCTGGACACGCTGTCCGCCGAGGAGCGCAAGAGGCAGGAGGTGAGGGCACGGGGCAGGTGCTGTCCCGGCCACAGTGTGGGCCACACAACAGCCTGGGGGAGGGGCTGCCCACGCCCTGGGCCCACACACATCACGGTGCCTGGAGACTCTGCCTTTGCTCTGTGCCTGGTACTATTTGAGCCCCTTGGTGTCACCGTGTGAATCCTCAGAGCAGCCTCGGGGTTGGGGGGCTACCGTTACCCGCTTCTCAGACAAGGACGGGGGTCCTCACCCAGCTGCACAGGCTCGTCAGTGGCGAGCCAGAGCACAAACCCAGGGCCGTGGGGCTCACATCCTGGCTGGCTGTCCTGACAGCCCCGTCCAGGGTTTCTGTCCAGGGCTGGTGGCCCCGCCTGCCCCGCCACCCAGATCATGCCTGTGCCCAGCCTCTCCCACGGGGACGGCACATGTGGACCCCTCTGCGCAGGCCATCTTCGAGATCCTCACGTCCGAGTTCTCCTACCAGCACAGCCTGAGCGTCCTGGTGGCCGAGTTCCTGGAGTCCAAAGAGCTGCGGGCCACGATGACCCAGACGGAGCACCACCACCTCTTCTCCAACATCCGGGACGTCCTGGGCGCCAGTCAGAGGTGTGGCCCACGCTGCAGCCCTCCCACCCGCGTCCCCACACCTGGGAAGGCCACCTCGCCCCGCTAGACACCGTGGCGGTGTGGACAGGCTCTGGGAGGGCCTTGGTCTGCATCCGTGGGTGGGACAGTTTGGAGCAGCCGCTGGTTCAGATGGGGTGACAGCTGAGGGCCCTCGAGGCCACCGAGGGCTGGCCCCAGGGATGGCCTGAGCACCAGGGTGTGGGCATCCTGGACATTCACGAGGGGTCCTGCCCTGCCGATGGGCACGATCCCACCAGGACACCTGGGCACAGAGGGCTGCGTGACCAACAGGGTGCTCACCGGCTGGGAGGCAGCCCCAGGTCATGTTGCACCCAGAGGTGTCTGGTGGCTGGACTGGGCTCTGGTTGCAGAGCCTGGAGGTGGAGGAGGGGCCAGGCGTGCGCCTGCAGGCCTGCGTGTGTGTGTGTGGGCGTGCATGTGTGTGTGCATATGCTTATGTGCACTTGGGTGTGCGTGTACACACGTGTATGTGTGTGTGATCGTGTGTGCATGTATGCGTGTGCATATGCTTATGTACGCTTGTGTGTGCGCATGTATATGTGTGTGTGATCGTGTGTGCACGTGTGAATGTGCGTGTGTGCACATGTGCGTGTGTGTGCATGTCTGTGTGGGCTCAGACCTGTGCTGGCCCTGGACCCTGGCGGACCCCAGGGCGTCACGGGCCCGCTGAGCCTCAGCCTCACCGCTAACTGGGTGGACTTGGGTGGGGCTGGTGAGGGGTCGGGTCCCGTGGCGCTGGCTCACCGCTGGGCCATTGGACGGTGGTGGTGCGTTCACATCAGCATCAGGCCCGCCATGGCCACGCCTCGCCTGGTGCTGCCTGCGGGGCCCCCGTGGAAGTTTCAGGGCCACAGGGGAAGGGGGGTTGTCTTGTCCCTGGAGATGGCGGCTTCCTGTCGAGGCTTCATTGACAATCTGGGGGTGTCTGGGATCTGCCCCTTCCCCAGCTCTGGCCCCCAGCCGTGCAGACTGCGTGTCCCCAGGGTGGGACGCTCCAGCTCTTCCTCCCGCTGGCCCTCGCTGGTCCTGGCATCCACAGTGACCTCCCCAGGGAATCGGTGCTATTTGGGTCTAGGCTGGTGGCCAGCTCTGCCCGGTTTCTCTTAGAAACCCATGGTCACCCTTTGAGGTGCCTGTGCATGCGTGTGTGTGGCGGCCTGTGTCTGCGCAGCTGGCTCCTCTCATGCCCTCCGCCTCCTAGCCCACGGGGACCTCTGTTCCCGAAATGCTGTCCCATCTGCTAAGGCTCCCCGAGGACAGGCGGCTCTCTGGGTGTCCCCCCTACAGGAAGGACAGCCCTGCATGGGCCGAGGGGCCAGGTGGGGCCCGGTGAGCAGAGGGGCCTGAGGGACCCCCACCACCTCCAAGCTGGGCCAGGGCCCCTCAGCCAGTCAGAGCTCTTGGGAGGGGAGGACCTCCGGCTGCCGTGCCAAGGCAGGGAGGAAGCCGGAACCTCGTCGCCCAGCCCCAGGCTAGCCCCTCTGCGTGACCAGGAGGCTGTGCGTGACGTGTGCCGCCTCCCCTGTGGCGGACGTCTGTCCCTGAGCTTTCCCCAGGGACAGGCCAGGGCTGGGTGCTGCCGGGGGCCAGGGCGAGTGCCCAGTCATTTCAGGTGTGAGGAGCTTGTCTGTCCTGGGGCGTCCTAGGCAGGACGGTGGCCTACAGCCACACCACGGGGGGCACTGGCCCCCGAGCACCTGCCACATGCTGCCTCCCGGAGCTCAGCTGGGTTCCTGCTGTGTGTGCACCTGCTCGTCCGTGTGCGTGTTTGGGTGTGTGCACACGTGGGGGCCGACCACCAGGCCCGGGGCCCGCCTTCACTGCTGCCCGCCTGCAGGTTCTTTGAGGACCTGGAGCAGCGGCACAAGGCGCAGGTGCTGGTGGAGGACATCAGTGACATCCTGGTGGAGCACGCCGAGCGGCACTTCCACCCCTACGTCGCCTACTGCTCCAACGAGGTCTACCAGCAGCGCACGCTGCAGCGGCTGACGTGAGTGGCCTCCCGGGGTCCCGGGGCGTCTGGACTCCGGAGGACCCAGCACTCGCTCTCCCGGAGCACGTTCGCGCGGCCTGGCTTCCGTAGGCTCCACCCGGTCTCCGCACGGCCGGGCCGCGCGGGCCTGGCAGGACAGCCCCGTCCTCTGTTGCAGAAGCAGCAACGCCGCCTTCCGCGAGGTCCTGCGGGAGATCGAGAAGCGGCCGGCGTGCGGGGGCTTGCCCATGATCTCCTTCCTGATCCTGCCCATGCAACGGGTGACCCGGCTGCCCCTCCTGACGGATGTGAGTGTGGCCCGGACACGGCAGCCCACCTCGGGGAGCCCTGCCTTCGGGCGCAGCGCTGCTCCCCGCGAGCTTCTCTTGCACGCTTTGCCTGTCTTTGCCATTTAACAGGCATGGTTATGAGACGGTTTAGCAATCGGGACTGCTTTGGTTGCCGTCACCCGCACGGCGCACTGTGCCGGGAGACGTTCCAGCCCTTTGTGAATCTTTGCTCACTCGCCTGACGGGCCAGGAGCTTCGCTCACATAGATGAGCTGGAACCAGCGTCACACAGACCCCTGCTGAGCCTCCTTCCCACCACCCGCCCCGCCAGTCCTCCTGAGCAGGCGACCCCGAGGGGCCGGCACCTGTCACTCTCCCCGTTTCTTGAACGGAGAAAGGGGCTGAGGGGGGCTCTCAGCGTGGCCTGCGTCTCTGAGATGCCCACAGGGTAGGGGACGTGTGGGGGTGAAAGGTGCACACACATGCTTGCATATGCATGGGCTCATGCACACGTGCACATAATGCACACACACAGGCTCACACACAGGTGTGCACACACAGGCACATACCACTTGTACACACACCAACACGTACACGGTAGGACTGAGCTCAGCTCCCCAGGGGCTACGTGTGGCAGGTGGTCTGTCGGCTGCCCAAGCCAGTTGGAACCTTACAACCCCCCTGCCCCCGGGGCCCCTGGGATGTGCAGAAAAGGGCTGCCAGGGGACCACCACTGACTGTCCCCCAGGCTGGACAGAGACAGCCGAGGCTGGAACAGCGTGGGGTCACAAGGTGCCGGCTCCCATTGCCATTCAACCTGGCCTGGCGTGGCAGAGCCCCGGGTGGCGCAGTGGCTGTCTGGGGGCCGTGCACACTGGTGGGGCCGGCTCTGGACCCCCCTGCAGCCCCACCCGGGGCCTGGTGTTGGTGGGAGCCCCTGCCCTGTGCAGGCCGCCGCACCTGGGATGCAGGAGCGGCCCCGGCACCTCACGCCTGCCGTCCTCTCCAGACGCTCTGCCTGAAGACCCAGGGCCACCCCGAGAGGTACCAGGCCGCCAGCCACGCGCTAAAGGCCATCAGCAAGGTGAGGGGCGCCCAGGGCCGGGGGGTGCCCAGTCCTGCTGGCCGAGCTCAGCATAGACCCCAGGGCAGGGAGGTTCTCGGATTATCCACCCCAAGCCTTTCATGGTACTGATGGGAAAACTGAGGCCCAGAGCCAGTGGCACTCTCTCGCAGCCGGTGAGCCCACGGCATGGCTGGGATGGGGACCAGCCCAGCACCACCCGCAAGGGCAGGGCTGGCTGGGCAGATAGGGCTGGGCATGCCCGGCGGGGGGTGGGGAGGTTGTGCCAGGGGCCCCGCAGCCCCAGCGCGCTCACACGCGTGCCCCACGCCGCAGCTGGTGAGACAGTGCAACCAAGGGGCCCACAAGATGGAGCGCACGGAGCAGATGTACACGCTGCACACGCAGCTGGACTTCGGCAAGGTCAAGGTAGGCGGCCCGACGGTGCCACACGGTCCCCGGGTATCGGGCGACTCACCCAGTGGGCGGCCAGGCCCCTCCCACGTCCCTCCCAGCTCTCCCTTCGTCCTGCATCTGAGGTCAGGGGTCATACTCTAAAGCCTGGGGGCTGGATAGAGGTCTTGGGGGGCCCACCCTGGTGAGGCCTGAAGGCTGGGCCACCTGGAGCCTGTGCCTTTGGTCTCTTCAGGCCTCAGTTTCCCCATTTGGGACCGTCCCTTGTGCACCCCAGCCCCTACCCCCAGGGTGGGTCTCTCTGGCCTCGCCCACATCCCCAAGACTACACAGGCAGCGGGCAGCCCCAGGCCCCAAGCAGAGGGGCGCGGGCTTGCCCTGGGCCTGGGGTCCTCGCTGGCCGTCCGGGCCCGGGCGGGGCCTTGCTGAGGCCACAGTGGAAGGCACCTTCAGGGCCGCGCAGGGCGCAGCTGCCCCAGTGAGGCTCCGGTTCTCGGGAAGGGGCAGACTATTTCCAGCCCAGGCCTGGGCAACCCGAGACCCCCTTCCAAGCAGGCAGGGTCAGACCTCTGCCCCCACTGAACCCCGCAGGATCCCACAGACTGACCCTGTCCCCAAGGTGGCCCTTTTGGGCCTCTTATCCTGGTGCCCTGTCCACGTAGTGCCCTTTGCCCTTTCAGAGGTGTCCTGGTTTGGGTAACATGTTTCAGGCCACCCTGGGTCAAGGCTGTGGAGCAACAGAGCTAAGGGCAAGGAGGTCCCACAAGGGGAGGAGGCTCTTTGGATGGGTCAGGGTGGGCTTCATGGAGGAGGTGTTATGGTGGTAACCACCCGCTGCGATCACGGAGCCCACACCCCATGCAGGTCACTCTCAACTTTGGGGTGCAATACACCCCTGGCCAGAGCAAGGACCCCATCCTGGGCCCAGTTCACCCCCAAGTGGGGCTCTTACTCCCACGTAGTCCGGAAGCCATGGACAAGCAGGGGCTGGGAGTGTGGCCCATCTGCGGGGCCTCGATTGTGGCTGAGGAGCAGGCCGGGTGGGCAGCCGCCTCCCGATTTGCCCCACACGCTCCAGCAGCGTGGTACCGGGCCGGGGTGCCGTGTTGGTGAACTGGGGGTCAGCAAAGGCCCCCAGATGCCGGAACGTGGCCGTCTCGACAAGGCTGGCCCTTCCCATGCCCCTGCCCCGCGCACGAGGCGCGTGGCGGCTTCCCCAGGACGGGGCGGAACGCTCAGCAGGTGCCCGGCGAGCCGTGGGCCTGGCTGGAGGCCCGGCCGGGCTGTCCTGGCAGGATCCGGCCCAGGGCCTGGCACACACCTTTATTTAAGGGCCGGACACATTGCGTCCCCCCCTCTGTCCGGCCCTGACCGGGGACTGCCCGCTCGTCCTCGTGGCACTGCCCGTCCTTCCCCCGGCGCTGCTCACCCGACTCTGCCCCACCAGTCCCTGCCACTGATCTCCGCGTCCCGGTGGCTGCTGAAGCGCGGGGAGCTCTTCTTGATGGAAGAAACAGGACTTTTTCGAAAACTCGCCAGCCGGCCCACGTGCTACCTGTTCCTGTTCAACGACGTCCTGGTTGTGACCAAGAAGAAGAGGTGGGCCCGCTCTGTGTGGCGGGGAGCGGGTGGGAGCCCGTCCTGAGCCCCTCCGACCTCAGCTGGGGCCGCGGCCTGAGCCGGGCAGGTAGCCGGGGACTCGCGCTCGGCCTGCTCGGGCTCCTCCTGCTGCCTGGGGTCCCCGGCCCAGGCTGTAGGGAGGGCCTCAGGGCCCTGGCCTCTGTTCCCGGGCTGTGTGTCTGTGGACAGCCCCCACCGCGGCCGCAGGGGAGCTGGGTGGGCACTGAGGCAGGGAGCGTCCCACCAACTGCCTGTGTCCCCACAGCGAGGACAGCTACGTGGTCCAGGACTACGCCCAGATGGACCACATCCGGGTCACGAAGGTGGAGCCCTCAGAGCTGCCCCTGCCAGGGGGTGGCAACCGCAGCTCCTCCGTGCCCCACCCCTTCCAGGTGACCCTGCTGCACAACAGCGAGGGCCGCCAGGAGCAGATCCTGCTGTCCACGGACTCCGCGTAAGGGGGCTCCCTGGGGGGCGGCTCCTCGGGGCCCACGTGCACACGAGCTCCATGAGGACGAGGTCCCTCTGTTCAGCCTCATGCGCTATTTGATGACCATTTCTGGCCACGCACTGCTGTAGGGGCCGGGGGTAGAGCCAGGGACAAAACAGAAACAGCCTGTCCTGGTGGGGCTCACATTGCTGTGGGGGGGACACACCCGACAGCTGAACGACTGGACACCCAGTGTGTCAGAAGGCAGGAAGGACTGGGGAGGGGCTGTGTGGGGAGGGTGCCACCATGGGCTGCTGAGCCCCCGTGGATGGGGGCTTCCCCAGCAGGGCCAGAGCCGTGCAAAGGCCCTGAGGCAGGAGAGTCCTGGGAGGATAGGGTGGCAAGGTGGGTGGACCACAGGGACAGAGGGGGCCCCTGGTGGAAAGAAGGTTGGGTCAGTCTCCATGTCCCTTCCAAGCTCCCCTGTGACCGTGGCCAGCGCTGGGCCTCCTTTCCAGATGAGAAAGCTGCAGCTCACTAAGGGGCAGGAGCTTGGCCAGGGCCAGGAACGGGGAGGCCTAGGGTCTGGCAATCTGGGGTCTGGGCTGTGGCTGTCCCCTGACTCTGTGACCCAGGGCAGATGTGACTCTGGCTCAGCCTGCCCGGGGCAAAGTCTGCCTGGCCACCCATCCACCTTCTTGCCACACCCCCGGGGGTGGTGTCTGAAGGGCCACCAGGCTGGCGGGGTTGGCCTCAGGGCCTCACTCACACCCTCTGGCCCCCAGGAGTGACCGGGCCCGGTGGATCACCGCACTCACGTACGGGGAGAGACAGGGCCAGGAGCCCCCCAACAAGGGAGGTGAGTGCCAGGTGGGGGCTTGTGGGGAGCCTCGCCCAGGAGGGGGTGCCCCTGTCGTGCTGTCCCCGCCCTCCGCGTGTGCACCTGTGCACCTCTGCCCTGGCGGTTGGCCCTTCCCAGGAGGCCTTGCCCGCCCTGCGGCAGGGAGAGGACACTGCCATGCCATACCCAGTAGCTGGGGACGCTGTCCACCACCCCTAGCTCTGGCCCTGCCCTGTCCCCTCTGCCAGTACTGGGCACTTTGGCCCCAAAAGGAGGCGCATCTGTCCTTGTGCTGGGACACCTGGGTGCGTCCTGGGCCCCACTAAGACCTGTCCGGCCCTGGGGGACATGTCTGCTGGAGGACACTGGGAGCCGTGGGGGCTGCAGAGGGCCCTGCTGCTGATACCCGCTCCCCCCGCAGACCTGCGCCAGGTGGAGATCACCAAGGCCTTCTTGGCGAAGCAGGCGGACGAGGTCACGCTGCAGCAGGCAGACGTGGTCCTGGTCCTGCAGCAGGAGGACGGTGAGCGCGGGCTGGGGTGGGCACAGGCTGGCGCACGTGTGGGCCGTGGCTGAGGACCCGGAGCAGCAGAGAGGAAGGCTGAGGCATGCGCTCGCGGCCCCCCGACCCTCTCTCAGGGACCTCGAGGGCACACGCTCACGTGCCGGGTCGCAGGACCAGAAGTGGGTTCCTGGCCACTCTGTCCTAGGCGAGGAGGAGGAGGGGTGTGTCTGCTCTCCTAGGGGTCCCTGAGGCCCCGGCTCCTGCCTGCACAGGGCGGGCGGAGCTGCTTCCCTGGCAGGCGAAGCTGGGCGGGGGGAGCTCAGCCGGCCCCCCCAGGTGCCCATGTGACCTGGGCAAGGCCTCTTCAGCCTGTTTTCTCCCTGGGGCGGGAGGGGCGGTGGTCGGTCCTGAGACATGTGTGGCCCTGGCGTCCTCAGGAACAGCAGCTCGGAGGGGCCTTGGGGACCCTGCTCTGGGGGGCCCTGCATCCTTCTTTGACCTCCCCCTTGTCCGTCTGGGTCCAGGTTGGCTCCATGGCGAGAGGCTTCGGGACGGAGAGACGGGCTGGTTCCCCGAGGACTGTGCCCGCTGCATCACCAGCCGCGTGGCCGTGGAGGACAACGTGCGCAGGATGGAGCGACTGCGGGTGGAGACAGACGTGTAGCCCGCGCAGCCGGCCACCTACCCCCTGTCGCGAGTACCGTGGGGGCTGCGCGTGTGTGGGCAGTGGGGCACGGGGTCTGGCGGTGGGGCGCTGGCGCTGAGCCCCTTCTCCAAGGCCTGGACAGGGCAGCCCAGGCTTGGCACAGCCAGGCCAAGGACCGTGGCCCTTCCTCTCTGCAAACCCCAGCGCCCGGCCCTGCGTGAGCACAGCGTGGACACTGGCTGGGGCCAGACAGGCACCCCCACCTTCCCCGGAGGTAGGAGCAGGACAGGGTCGACGGGGCACAGAAGCGGGCGTGAGCGGCCACAGCAGCTGGGCAGGCCAACGCCAGGCCCGGGTCCCTGTGTCGGGGCGCAGCAGGTACAGTGCTGGGCCATCACCAGCAGGCCTGGAGGCCACAGGGAACATGTCCCTTCATCCACCCCTCTGCCTTCCTCCCCCGTGTGCGATGTGTGTCCTGGAGCCCGTGGGAGTCCGTGTGCACTAGTGTCCCCTTACGGGGGCAGATCATTTGCATAAAGCGTATGTGCGCACGACCTCACTCTTATTTCTCATCTCGCTCAACACCGTTCCGGGATCTGTCCGCACTACTCTGCACAGCTGGCCTGGTGTTTCTAACCACTCTGGAACGTTCCAGGGCAGGCACCGTCCTTGACGCGTCCTTCCTTCCCTCACCCGCCCCCTGGCGGCCGGCGGAGGCACTGGCGGGGCCCTCCCGGGCTGCCCCGTGGACCCCAGCGGTGCCGGAGGCCCCCCCCACCGACTGGACTTCCCCGCGTGGGAGTAGAGCCGCATACCCGTGCTGTGACTTGGGTCCCAGTGAGACTGGCCTTGTCCGAGCACTTGGTGGCCACAGGGTTTCCGTGGATTCCGCCATTGCCCCGTCTGTCACCCGCCGTCCATTAACACCAGACACCGCAGGTCACCCTCTGGTGCCACCGGTGGACCCCGTTCAGCAGACTGGAACTGCATCCGATCCGAGGGCCAGAGGTGACACTGTTGTCCTCATTTGTTCAGGCCTTTCTAGGTCTTTAAAAACTCTCCTGGACGAGTTAACAGAACCAGGAAATCCTTTCGGCGACAACTCCCATGTATTCGCAGGTTTCGTTGCTGTGTCTCTTATTTTCTATTCTGTTTCCTAGCTGGTTGTTGTCGGTGTTGAAGAACTACTGACTTTTACAGGTTTTATAAATGTCACACGTTTTATGTGATTTACAGGATTTTATTGCCATTCTCGCCAAATTCTTAGCTGCAACAAGCTGTCTGTTGGCCCTTTGGGGTTTTACGCAGAGACAATCCTGCCCCACGACAACCGCGCAGGTTTCTCTTCCCTGTGGACCCTCACGCCGCCAGCCTCTGTTTCTCTGCCTGGGCCGTCTGAGCGCTGCTGGGGTGGGGGGCGAGGACCACACAGACACCTAATGCCGACTCTCGGCCCGGAGGGATTTACTCACCCGTGTGACGAGGCTCCCGAGCCCAGCCCGCCCCGTTCCAGGTGGTCCAGCTCAACGCCAGCCCCCGCCTCCCGGATTCGGTGTTCTCACGGGGCAGGCCTGCCACGTCGGGAAACACGCACAGAACATTAGGGCCATGCAGAGCAGCAGCACGGGGAGGTGACACAGGACCTGACTGTGGTCACCTCAGCAGGCAGGGCAGGCCCTCTGGGGTGGCGTCGTTTGGATAGACCCGGATTTACTGCTTTCTCTACTGACTGTGATGCTTGCGCATAATTGTCGCTGAGAAGGTTCCTTTCCGAACCCAGGTTTCCAAGAATGGCTGTGCCACACAGGTGTTGAGCTCCAGGGAATGTTCTTTCCGCTTCTATAAGACAGTCATGTGATTTTTCACCCACGTACGCGGACGCATCTTCTGGTGCTAAACTGTCCGTGCGTTCAGGCGAGTGTGTCCCCCACTTGGGCAGGACGACGCTGTTTTTTAAATGCTCACATTTGGATGGCTGGTATTGTGTTTAGGGTTTTGGCACACGTGGAACGAGCCTGCGGTTCCCTTTCACTGCTGTTCTCGCCGGGTTCCAGAACCGCGGGACGAGGGCAGCTGCTTTTCCTCTGTTGAGCGTGCGTGGACCCCGTCCCGCCTCACAAAGTCACGGTGTCTCGAGTCTGGCACTGCCGTCCTGCCACACCCGTGCAGGCACTGCTGGGCGGGTGCTGAAGTTACCAGCTTATTCGCGGTTTTTGTCTCTGCGTACACCAGTCCTGGCAGGGTGTGTTTCTCCCAGGTTCATCCGTGTTTCTGTTTCCAGAGTCACGGGTACGCAGTGTTCGTAACACTCTTTTCATGTCTCGTTGTCTATTGTGTCTGGAGTTAATTCTGCCTCCTGCTGTACTTTTTTCTTGCGTGTTTAAAAAGTCACTAGTCTTGCTAGGTTTTTCTTTCCTATTGAGACTTCAAAGAAGGAAATTTTGGTTTTCTTAAATGTTTCATCATTCTCCACTTGCTGAGTGTAAAGTTTATATATCTATGAATATAAATGTGCATATGTGTATGTATTCATATGAAAATAAATGTGTCTATTCTAGTAAATATATAGATACCACAAATACATAGATACCCCGTGTGTTAAGCTTATTCGGGTCTTATCATTCTACGTCCCGTTCACTCAGCCTGTTGTTTTCTGTAAGGAGCTTGTTAAAATCACCAGTTAAAGTTCTTCCTACCTGTTCCGTCCATCACTGCGCTGTGACTTCTGGGCCTCGTCGTATGCACTTGTGTGTGTGCATTTATAGACAGTCGGATGCTTCTCTCCTTGACGTACTAAAACTCCCCTGGCCTTCCTTGGTTGACTGCAGGTTCCTGTTTCTTTCCGTTGAGGTGTGTCGTCTGCCGTCGAGACACGCTGACTGCTTTTTACTGCGGTCCGGGGAGCCGTCTCTCCGTCACCGTTGTACCCATTACGTGAGGGTTTGTTAACCTATTTCCTTTCGATTATGCTCATTTCCTCTCCTGCCCTGGCTGCACAAGCCGGCCTTCCCGGTCCAGAACGTCAGCACCCTGCCGGTTTCTTGCAAAGTCCGCTCATACCTTTCTGCCTTGGGGCTTCCTGCAGCCGACACCGTGTCACCAGACAGGGCGAGTGAGTGCCCGGCGCCCTCCAGCCTCCCTGGCCACACCCTGGTGCACGGCCGGACTGGGCTTCCCGTGGTGGATCCGTGGAAGGTTCTGGCTCTCCTCATTGCCGGGCCCCTTGGGGAGTGCACGAGTGAACATCCAGGGCCCTGTGGTGTCCTTCCCTTCCTGCCGGGGAACTGTTGCTAAGAGCATTTCAGGTCGGGTTTTGGTGCCGCGGCCTGGGAGGCCTGAGAACGACGCTGACGTTGTAGGTCAGTGACAGTTTAGCCGGATATAAAACTCAGGTTTCAAAATCCCTTCGTCAGCTCTCTGAAGACAGAACACCCTGTTCTGGGCTTTCGGGGTCCCGCTGGCAAAGTCGGACCCCAGTCTGACGCCCTCTCCTCTCGCCTCCCTGGACGCCGAGCTTCTCTTTGCCGCGACGTCCTCAGCGTTCTTTGGACCGCGGCTCTTTCGTTTTCACGGTTTGCGCTGCGAGCCCTTGGTCTGAGATCAGTCGCCTCAGAGCTGAGAACTTGAGTTTGTTCTTGCGTCGCGTCAGTGACTTCTCCTTTCCCCGGGAGTCAGACCGATGTCAGCTGACACCCCCCTTAGCCACTTTTGTGAGCCTTTCTTTGCGTGTTCTCTCTGTAAACCTCTCTGCTGCCTCTGGGAGGGCGTCCTGAGCTGGACACTGTCACCCACCCGGCCCGCCCACTTCGTGTCCCCGCGTACCTCTTCCGCAGCCTCCTCCCGTCACTGTCCTTCCTCATCGCTGTGTGGCGTTAAAGCCCCGATGCGGTGGCCCAACACTTTTCCTGCCTCGGCTACAGATCACGCCCTTGCAGTCGGTTTAAGCTGGTCGAGCTCCGGGGAACCCTCCTCCTGCTGCCCCTGGGGGTGTCGGGCCCCCGGCTGGGGTTGGAGGGAGGGCGGAGGGGGCTTTCGTCGGGTGGGAGGGGCAGAGAGTGGCCGTGCTACAGTCTGGGTCCCACCTCTCCAGCAGCCACCGCACCCTCCCACCTCTGCTCCAGGTGACGTCAGCCTCAGCCCTCGAGCCCCACGCCCTCCGGAGGACTGGCCCCCGGGACCTTGCCCACCCTCGCGCTGCAGATGCCGCGGTGCGGGGGGCTGAGGTGAGCTCAGCCTCCGCCCTGGCTGCCCCTCCACACCTGCCCTGCCCTCTGGGCCATCCTTTGGGACTGTCCCCGTTCTGGGGCCCGGGGGCGTCTCAGCCATGATCAGCGCACTCTGCAGCCTCAGCCGCCTCCCCCACAGCACCGCGAACTGAAACACGGCCCCATTTCGCTTGTGTGGCACCCGCATCCCTGGGAAGGGCCAGGTGCCTGTCTGGGCCTCCCCGGCCCAGGGGCGGTTCCTGTCTGCTGCCTGCGTGCTGGCTGGGCCCCGGGAGGAGCCCACGCGAGACCAAGTAAAGCAGCAAACACACGGGCTACCAGGAAGCCGCCTGCTCCTTTAACTCACTGGGTTTTACATGGCACCTGAGCCCGTCACCTGGAGACCCCCCTCGGGGCCCTGCAGACTCGAGCCAGGGCTTCCGGGGGTGCGGCAGGAGACAGGCAGCTTCCAGCTGCCCCAGGGCTGTGGCAGGCATGTGCCACTGCCCATAAATACCTTTACATAAATATGGCTGGGCTACATTTCCAGGTGAACAGTCGCTGAGCGTAGCAGTCCAGGGCCTAGCACCAGAAGAAACCGCCCGGAGGGCAGCAGCCCCAGGCCTGCACCTGTGCCCACACCTGCCCTCAGTCCCGATCCAGGGCAGGGCGGGACGTCCTCAGCACAGGTGCCAGTGCACCTGGCGCGGCCCGTGGCCTGGTCCACTCGCCTGCGTCCCACAGAGCCGGGCCGGGCAGGGCCTCTCTCCTCAAGGGCTTGACCCTCCCAGAGGGGGAGGCTGCGCAGCTGTCCGCAGAGAGAAGGGTGGGGCCGGGAGTCCTTGGCACAGAGTCCCTGCTTATTCGCCACCGAAGGCCCGGGTCCCCTCGGGCTGGACCCTGGGGGCTGTCCCTGAGCTAGGGCTCTGCTGCCCTGCTGCTGCGCATGGGGGCCGGTCTGGCGGAGGCGGGCAGGCCGGCTGCTGGGGCACAGGAGAAGAGTCAGTCAGCCAGGGTGTGGGGGGTGCTCTCAAAACAGCTGGGGTCCTGGGCCAATGCTTCCCCCTCCCCCAGCAGGGAAGCCCACTCCTCCTTCCAGCTTTGGCCCAGTCCTGGTCTCTGAGCTCCAGAGGCTGGAGGTCCCAGGACAGCGGGAACCTCCACTGCCCCATGGGGCCCAGACTATCCGGACCCGTCCTCCCTGGGACTCAGCCTTTCAGCAAGCCCAGGGGGCTTCCCCACCCCCTTACCTGGGCTCTGGGCAGGGAATAGGCTCTCGGGCAGCTGGGGGGGCCCACCTGGAGGGGGACAGACAGCAGCACATCAATGCCCCACCCTTGGGTGGGAAACAGCAATGGGGCAGCAAGGGGTAGCCTCACCCCAGTAGAGCGTCTTCCCCATCCCACTCCCACGTCACGCTGGGCCTCTCCCTCTCCCCAGATGAAAGCTCCAGCCCTCCCCGCCTCACACCCTGCAGCACCAGGGGTGGGAGGCCAGCTTTGGGGCCAGACCGGGAAGGGCTTCACCCAAGGCCAAGCCAAGTCCACTCCAGGGCAGGGCCGGGGCCTAGGGACTCCTGATGCCCAGCGAGACCTTGCCTATAGGGGCCCCAGCTCCTGATGCCTCCAGCTGAATGTCCAGGCACACCCCTAACCCTAATCCTAACCCGATACCCTCCCTGGGCACCGCCCGCCCCCCTCCCCCGCCACCGTCGGCTTTGGTGCAATACCACAAATGACCACTAGATGCCACTGTGGGCAGTGCTATATCCCCAGCCTGCCCTGGCCTGCCAGGGGAGAGGGGTCCGGCTTCAAGGCTCTGGATGGGACTGCCCTGGGGAGGCTCAGAAAGATGCACCCACTGCAGCATCAAATTAGATTTGGGGCCCCCAGGCCGAGGACCCCACATGTGGAATCCCTGCTCTGCCATGCCACAGAGCCCTCAGTCTGCCCCTCGCTTTGGCCCTGCCGCGCATCCTGCTCCCCGGGCAGAGGCCACGCTGCCTCCCGCTGCCCCGCACCTGCAGCAAGCGGCCTGGGGAGCCCACCAGGGGCCACCAGCGAGGGGCTCGCAGAGGGGTGAGGCACCCCAAGTTCTGCGTGTGGAAAGAGGGCATGTCCCAGCAGAACCTCTGGGGGGTTAGCGGCCAAGAGGCCACCTTCACGCACGTGCTGGAGCACACACGCACCTGGCGCACACGCGTGCTCTGCAGCACACTCACAGACGTGCCTGCTGCACCCACACCAGTGCGCATGCATGCACTGTTGCACAGACGCGTGCTGCCAACGTGCACGCAATGCGCGCGGGAGGCGCGGCTCAGCCTAGTCCACGTGGGGGATCACCCAGCCCTACCCACGGGGTTGCGCCTCCCCCTGCAGCTGTCTGGGCTGGGGAAGGGGCCCTGAAGCTGACACCCACCCATCAGAATCCGGCACCGTGAGTACCGGGCAGGGACGGCCGGTGTTCACTCCAGCGAGGGCGGCCCAGCCCCCGGTGCAGTGCAGGGGGGGGGGGGGCAGTGTCCTCCCATCCCCCAGGGAGCCCGACTCACCTTCCCGGCACGTGGGCCCCGTGTAACCATCTACACAGTGGCACTGCCCACTGACGGGGTCACAGTCAGCCCCACCCCCGCAGTCACAGCGCAGGACACAGCCGGGCCCAAAGTGGCCCGCTCTGCAATCTGCAGGGGTGGGAGGGGCAGAGAGACAGACCTCAGCCTGATCCCTGCCTGCCCCAGGCCAGGGACCTCGGGCCTGCGGTCACCGGCGGAGCGTGATGAGGCCTTCGTGTGGGGCCCTCTGCATGTGGGTGTGCGGGAGCTAAGACCTCGAGCCTCTTCCCTGAAGGGTAGGACAGTCCCCACCCTGCCTTCCTCAGCATGGGAATGCGGGCCCCAGGTGGGCAAAGGGGACCTGGCAGTCAGGGAAGCTCCCCCAAGGGCGCAAAGGGCCCAAGAGCCCAGAGGAAGTCAGGGTGCCGCCCCAGCAGGATGGCCCCTCCTGTCCCCAGGTGGGGCCCTCTGGTCTGGAGGGGCCACCACCCCCACAGTGCCCCCACCCAAAGCTAGTAGGTCGGGGAAGCCTTCCCAGCTAACTGGGCCTCCTCCCACGACCGTGGCCCCAGCCCCAGGGGAGCTTCCTGCCTGGCACCGCCTGTCCCAGCACGGGGCATGGCCTGGGGTGCGGAGCCTGCAGGGGGGCATGGTGCCCAGCCTGGGACTGGCACGGGTAGTGCCCAAACAATCCATGTTTGCCACCAAGGGAGACCCACACTCGTGCCACCCTCCTGGGCAGGACCCCAGACTCACCCAAGCCACACGTGGCTCCTGAGCGCCCAGGTGGACAAAGGCAGAGGCCGGTGACAGGGTCACAGGGTGCCCCCTCCTGGCAGTCACACCGCTGGCGGCAGCCCTCTCCGAATGAACCCAGCTCACACCCTGGTGGGGGCAGTGGGCTCAGTGTCCTCTGTCCTGCGCCGACTGGACAGGGCCGGGCGGGGACCGAGGGAGCGTGACGCACTCACCGCTCTCACAGAACTGGCCACGGAAGCCGGCGGGGCAGAGGCACTGGCCACTGGCGGAGTCGCAGGGGGCTCCATGCTGACACATGCATGCCCTCTGGCAGCCAGCCCCGTGGAAGCCGGGGGGACAGGCTGAAGGAGGACCCCGGTTAGAGCAAGCCGAGGGCCCGAGGTGGCAAAAATGTCCAAGGACCGACAACTCAGGGACCAGTGAGCAGCCTGCCCTGGGCGTCCTCACCCCTCCCCCAGCCGGGACTCCCAGCCCCCACCAGTCTCGTCACGGTCAGCCAGGTCTGCCTTGCGCCATGTGGCAGGAGCGGACAGCCACCAAACAGCCCCAGCCCTGCGGGCAGGGGTTGCAGCCCCCGACTCACGGTGCTCGCAGGCCTGGCCGTAGAAGCCGGGGCCGCAGCGGCAGGCGCCCGTAGCGGGCTCACAGGTGCTGTTGTTGCGGCAGGAACATTCCAGATGGCAGTCGGCGCCATAGCGCCCAGGGGGGCAAGCTGGGGAGAGAGCAGGGAGGACGGGGCAGGAAAGACGATCCCTCAAGCGCTAACCTGATTCAGGTGACCCCAGAAGCCTCATCCCACCCTCCGGCAGCCCAAGGCCCCCCGCAAAGGCCCCCACACCCTGCGCCTTCCTCAGGAGACCAGGGCCACTCCCCGCCTCAGGGCATGGCCCTCCCTCCTGTCCAGCCAACACAGGGACTGGGACACTGAGGTCCTCTGGCCCCAAACACTCACCCAGCTCACAGCGGGGCCCCGTCCAGCCCAGGCCGCAGGAGCAGCTGCCATTGGCGGGGTGGCACAGGCCCCCGTTTCTGCAGGAGCACGCGTGCTCACAGCCAGCTCCAAACCGGTCCTGGGGGCAGTCTGGGGACAGGAGGCGGGTGCTGCTCGGAGTTCTGGCCCAGGGCTGGACACCCTCTGGGGACAGCCGCACAGGCTGACATTCATTCAACAAACACTCCCTGAGGCCTCTCGGTGCCAGTCTCTGCCCTCCAAGCAGACATGTGCCCGGGAGCGACACCAGCCACCTCATTCGTTCACCGTCTCAGGCAGAAAGCGCCTACTAGGTGCCACGGATGACTCAGTGATGAAGGGGTAACAGCCCTTCAGGGGCAGCAGGTGCCTGCCCAGCCTGCAGGGAGGGGGCATGGAAGGCTTCCTGGAGGTGGTGGCACACTGTGCAAAGACTCATCTCAAGCCTGGGAGCAAGAGCACAACCTCCAGGCCTGAAAAGCACTATGACTGGGCCAGCCACGGACTCTGAGCGGGTGCTCTGTGGCCTCCTGTGTGTGGCCTGGCGCGTGCCAGCCCTCCTGGAGTGAGGCGGGGCCAGGCCGCGTCCCAGCTGCAGCCGGATCCCTGAGCTCCTGAGCCTCTGCTGCCCCAGGCTTCCGAGGAGCCCCCAAGGCTAAAAACAGGTCAGGGGGTGACAGCCCCCTGGACAAGGACTAGGGTGGGTCAGGCCACGTGGCTGTGGTCACGTGGACTAAGCCTGCCATCACAAGCAGGAGCTGCCACAACTGTGCCCTGGGTCCCCCCATTTCTCACCGTGGCCTGAGCTTTAAGCCTCCCTCCCCCTGGGGGTCCCTGAGCCCTGGGCCTGGCAGGAAAGGCCAGAGGATCCTCTTCTAAGAGACAACACCAGCCCGCAGGAAACAGGCAGAAAACAGCCGCCCGACCCCTCCTGCTCGGGCCACAGGGCTCTGGGCCACAGGGCTCTGGGCCGCAGGGACGCACGGACAGGTCACTCAGGCCTGAACCTGCGGGCACAGCCGGTCAAGGCCAGGCTAGGAGTGGCATGAGATGATCCGTTTTCTGTGCAGGGCAGTGTTGCCAATGAAAGCCAGGGTGCTCACTTCTTACCTCCCAGGGTCACATGGGGTAACCAGTAGCGGCCACCCGTGTGACCGTGCCCCCCTAGGGCTGGTTCACCCCACCAGCCTCCCCCGTGGCTAACTGGGTGTCATCTCCGTGAAGCGCCCCGCTTCCCGGAGTGGACGCTCACCTCGCTCACAGTGGACGCCCGCCCTCCCCGGGGGGCAGATGCAGGTGCCGGTCACAGGATCGCAGGGTGCCCCCTGCCCACACCTGCACACGTGGGCACAGTTGGGGCCGGAGCGGCCCTGTGGACAGGCTGCCAGGGGGAAGCAGGTGAGGGTGGCCGCCCACGGTGGGACCTGGCTGGCTCCCCCTCCCTCCCTGCCAGGTCAACTCCGGAAACAGGGTGGGGAGAGGAGGGATGGGGCAGGAGACCCTGTGTCTGCCCCAGGCAGGGTGGAGCCGGCCAGCTCCTGTGCCTTTTGCCCCACCTGGCATCTCCCTTGCACCCACGGGCCCCGCGGTGACTCACCCCCACCCCACCCCACCGCACCCCCACCCCGCCCCGCCCCTCCAGCTCTGCCTAGGAGGCAGAGGGGGACAGTCTCCACGTGACTCAGGGACAGCCCTTTCTCGGTGGGATGCTGGGCCACAGCTGCAGCCACCATGCTGGCCTCCATAACCAGACATACAAAAGCTCTGCTAGACGTGGCCCGGGTCAGGCTGGGCACAGCACATGTTGGGGCAGAGCTGACCAGGGGGCGGGTGGGGACTCTGGGGTCACACAGACACCCCCCGGGGCTGTGGACCCTTCCTGCCACCCTGGCAGAGGGGACTGAGGGGCCAGGGAGGTGGGCAGTAGGGCAGCTGTCCTCCCCGCGGGCTGGCTGGCGGGGCCCTGGCCACTCACTGAGGCTGCAGTTGGCCCCCAGGAACCCGGCGGGGCAGCGGCAGGCCCCCGTGGCCGCATCACAGGACCCCCCGTTGAGACACCCACACAGCCGCTCACAGCCTGGTCCATACCGCCCGGGCGGGCAGCCTGCAGGGAGAGGGGCGGCGGCTGGGGGCTGGGGGCTGCCCCCCAGTGCCCCTGAGCATAGCATGTCGGCCCCTGCAAGGCCCCCGCATGCCCCACCTTCCACCCCCAGGAAGGGGCCTGCCCGGAGAACGGGGCAGCTGGGGGCAGGCAGGACCCCCCACCCCTGGGCAGGCGCAGGTAGGACTCACGTTGCTGGCAGCGGGGGCCGTGGTAGCCGGCGGTGCACGCGCAGGCCCCCGTGGCAGGGTGGCAGGCCTGGTTCTTGCCGTGACACTGGCACATCTGCCCACAGTCCTCCCCGAAGGTGCCAGCTGGGCAGGCTGGGTGCAGATAGGGCCGGTGAGTCCTGGCCCAGCCAAGGAACAGGAGCCTCCCCAGGAGTCCCCACGCCTGCGCCGTCCTTAGGGGTATAGGTTTGGGGTGCACCCACCCTGCTCGCAGCCAGAGCCAGTGAAGCCAGGTGGACAGCGACACTCCCCGGTGATGTGGTGGCAGGCGGCACCAGGTGGGCAGTGGCAGCGCTGGGCACAGGCCTCTCCAAACCAGCCCCGCGGGCAGGCTGCAAGAAGGGGGTGGGCTGGCGGACACTTCCTGGGATGGGACCGGCGGGGACCCACGGGCCAGGGCAGGACCGGGGCGGTCCCTGTGGGTAGGACCCACCCCCATCTGGGCAGGTGGCGCCGACTCAGGCTGAGCTGGGGCTGTGCTCACCATTCTCACACCGAGAGCCCCTCCAGCCTGGGGGGCAGAGGCAGGCCCCGGTGACGGGGTGGCAGGGGGCTCCCCGCCGGCAGGCACAGCGCTCCTCACAGCGAGGCCCAAAGGTGCCCTGGGCACAGGCTGCCGGGAATGACACAGACAGTCCCTCTCAAAGGGGACCCTGGGCAGCACAGCCCCTGGCCCCCGCCAGACAACAGACCCCCGGGTAACCCCCCCATCCTGGGCATGGTCCTCAGCCCTGGGGTGAGACTGAGGCCACCACTTGACCACCCGGCAGGCCCTCCAGCGCCCCATGCTGCTGCCCACTCCACTCACGGCTCTGACACTTGTCCCCAGTCCAGCCGGCTGGGCACAGGCAGAGACCCGTGTGCCGGTCGCAGAGGCTGCCATTGCAGCTGCAGCCATGCAGGCAGCCGGCTCCGAAGCGCCCGGGGAGGCACTCTGCAGGGTCAGGGATGAGCCTGAGGGTCCCGCCTCCTGGGTCCAGGAGACCCCGGCCCACAGTCCTGCACCCAGGTTGCCACCCCCTGCACTGGGCACGCCGGGCACCTCCCGCCTCCGCCGCCCGGCGCTCACCATTCTCACAGGCCAGCCCAGCCCAGCCCTCCGGGCACAGACACTGCCCTGAGACAGGGTCACAAGTCCCCCCATTCTGACAGAGGCAGGAATGTCGACAGTTCTCGCCGTACAGGCCAGCGGGGCAGGCTGGGGCCGGAGGAGAGGGAGCAGCTGTCACCATCCAGCCAACGGCCCCCCAGGGTTCCGGCGTTCCAGCCCAGCCCCACGCTCAACACTGGACGTCGGCTACCTCTAAGGTGACCTGCCACAGGCCCGCCCTACTCACCGGCCCAGCCTGGGGCGGGCACACTGACGGGCACAGACCCCATCCTAAGCAGCCCCCTTGCCCCTCCCCCAGGTGCCCCCAAGAGGGTGCCAGCCTTGCCCTCCCTGCCCACTGTTCCAGGTGCACCCTGCGTCCTCCCCAGGACACAGACCTGGACCCTCGTCCCTGGACTCTTGGGCGAGGCTTACCCTGCTGGCAGGTGGGCCCTGTCCAGCCAGGGGCACAGTGGCAGTGCCCATGGACAGGGTCACAGGAGGCCCCGTTGAAGCAGGTGCAGACCTGGCTGCAATTGTGCCCGTAGGTGAGGGCTGGGCAGGCTGCAGGTGGAGACGGGTGGTCAGAGCCCGGGGCTGCAGGGACCCCGGAGGGGCTGTGGCAGATCTCAGGTGGCTGGGAAGATCCTCCCCTCCCTCCAGCCTGGGCCACCCACTTGGCAGAGTGGCCACGAACAGGGACCAATACTCTGGCCCAAGTGGACAAAGTGTCATCCGCTGGGTGGCCTCCTGGCAGCTTTGGACACCCAGGACAGGCCCCAGAAACAAATCCCCCACGGAGGACCTGGCACCCCCTCCTGCGGCACCCTGGTCTGCGCGGGGACCTCACGCACGCTGGGCGCAGCGGGGGCCCTGGCGGCCAGGGGGGCAGAGGCAGGAGCCATCCGCGGCGTCGCAGGGGGCTCCCGCGGTGCAGTTGCAGGCGCTGCGGCAGTCCAGTCCAAAGAAGCCGGCTGGGCAGGCTACGGGCAGGGGGGCGGTGATGGGGAGGGGCCCAGAGCTCCCCATGACCCTGGCCCACACTGGAGACAACCTAGCCCACCCCCGGCCTGCACCCTGGCTCACCGCGCTCGCAGAAGGTTCCCCTCCAGCCGGCCGGGCAGGTGCAGGCCCCACTGATGTGGTCACAGGCTGCTCCGTGCTGACACTGGCACCGTTGCTCACAGCCAGGCCCGAAGTGGCCCTGGGGACACCCTGAGACACGCAGCCCGGCCCACTGTGGGACGGGGCCTTGCTCACGGAGCCCCGCCCCACCTGAGGGGGTATGGGAGGTTTGTAGGAGCCCCAGGCATCACCTTTAGGGTTGGGGACCTCACTTGGGTTGCCTCTAGGACCACCTGCCCCAGGCCCACCCTGGACCCACCAACCCAGCTTTGGGGGTGCACAGAGGGGTGTGGACCTTGGTCCTAAGCAGCCCCCATCCTCTCCCTCCCCTGGGCACCAGGTGTCCTATGGGATGTGACGGCCCCCACCACTGCCCCAGATGAGCCTGTGTCTGGCTCAGGTGGGGCCTTGGCCAAGGCTGTGGAGGGAGCTGAGCAAGCTCAGGTGAGCACAGGAAGGCAGGCCAGGGCCCCCAGGGCGGTGCATGTGTGTGTGTTTGTGTGTGCATGCATGTTCACGTATGCATACACGTGTGCATCTCCTCATGCATGTGTACGTGTGCATGTGTGTACCTGTATGTGTGTATCCGTGTGCGCACATGTATGTCTATCAGTGTGCATTGCATACATGTGTACATGTGCTTCCATGTATGCATGCCCGCATGCGTGTGCGTGTGCATGTGTGCACCTGCATGTGCGCATGCATGTGTGTATCCGTGTGTCATGCGTGTGTGTGCACATGGGGTGGGGGGCACGGCTGAGGCGGGGCCAGGACTCACGCTGCTCACACCGCGGGCCTGTGTAGCCGGCCTCGCACAGGCACAGGCCGCTGGCGGGGTCGCAGCTCCCACGGCTTGCGCTGCAGTTGCAGGGGTGTCTGCAGTCGGGGCCCCAGTGCCCGCTGTCACAGGCTGCAACAGTGCCCGCGTCACCCCACGCGCCCCAGGTCGAGGCACAGGCATCTCGGGATGGGGCGGGGCGTTCTGCTGCCCCAGTCCTCCTGGGTCCCAGGTGGGTGATTCTCCAGGGGCCAGGAGGGACAGCCGGACAAAGGGCAGCCCAGGGGCCTTGTACCTCTCTGGCAGCTGAGGCCAGTCCACCCGGGGGCACAGCTGCAGCGTCCAGTAGCCGGGTGGCAGTGCCCGTCGTTGGCACAGGCGCACCTCATCTGGCAGCCGGGGCCAAACCAGCCCGCTGGGCACACTGCAGGCGTGGAAGGGGGTGAGTGGGGGCCTGGCCCGTCCGCCGCAGTCGCAGGCCCGGTGGGCTGTGGTGGGGCTGGAGCCACTCACCATCCTGGCAGCGGCTGCCGACAAAGCCGGGGTGGCACAGGCAGGCTCCGGTCTCGGGGTCGCAGCGGGCACCGTGCTCGCACGCCGCACATATCTCCTGGCAGCCAAGCCCCCAGCGGCCCTCGGGACAATCTAGTGCCCCCCGTGGCCAGTCAGTCCCCCCCGACTGCCGTTGCCGGACAGGTCAGCAAGCATGTACCTAACACAGCACCGACCCTGACGTGCCAGCCCAGGAGGGGGACCACGGTGACCACCCGAGCCTGCCTGATGAGGGGAGGGCCGTGGGGCGAGCAGACCCCTGGCACCTCCCAGGCTGCAGGCTGCAGGGCGTCCACCCCTGGAGAGGAGTTCCAGCCCCAGGGACAGCTCAACAGGCAAAATGGGGAGCCCGTCAGAGCGGCCGGGAGGCCCCGTACAGTGAGCAGGCAGCTCAGGGGGTGCACGCCAGCCCCGGGCTGGAGGACGATCCACCTCGAGCTCTCGGAGCTGCTGGGGGTGGGCTGCCATCTGCAGGGCTGGGGCCGGGTGTCCCCACAGTTCAGGCTAGGGTCCCCATCATGGCCCTGAACTGCCCCCCACCGCCCGGAGTCGAGCAGCCCGGGGAGGGGCTGAGGAAGCCACGGACACTCACCTGCCCCACAGTCCTCCCCCGTCCTCCCCGGCGGGCACAGACACTGCCCCGTGACCTGGTGGCAGGGGGCCCCCTCGCAGGAGCAGGAGCCTGAGCAGTTCACGCCAAACGTCCCCCTCGGGCACTCTGCGGAGGGAGCAGGAAGGGCCTCAGCCGCGTGCAGAGTGGCCCCACCCGGGGGCTCTTGGCAAATACGCTGTCCACCCCTCCCGCACCCGCTGCAGCTTTAGTTCCAGGGGGGCTGCTGAACACAGCCGGGGTCCTCAGGGTGCCCAGGGCAGGCCACAGGAGCAGGCAGGGGAGGGGGAAGGGTAGGCGCGCAGCTGGGGGGCATGAGGCAGAGGCGGAACCTTGCCATCCAGGACCCTGGAGAGTTCCTGGGAGCGTGGCTGTCCTGGCTCTTTGTCTACCTTCCCCCAACCTGGTTGGCCCCCAGGGACCTCTGTGTCCAGGCCAGTGTCCCCTGCCTGGCCTCGGGTGCTGGCCCAGGCCCTCCTCTCCCCCTAAGCTGGGAGCCCCGCAGGGACTCAGCCCCAGGGGCTGGGGGAGGATCCACCCACTTTACCCCCAGAGCTTCGGCCTCTCCCCACAGGCTGGGGCTGGGGTGGAGAGCGTGGGGCCTTCTGGAGGCCTGGGGTCCCCCAAGCCCAGGAAGTGAGCGAGACCAGGGAGAACAGAGGGCCCGGAATGGGGGCCTCAGGAGAGCTGGGCCCGCCTGGAAGGGGGGCCTGCAGGGGCTGCTCCTGTGGCCTGGCAGGGCCTCCGCCACACTGCCCACCTGCCCTGCTCCTCAGCACCCGGCCTCCGCCTCCCGCCCCAGGACAGCAAAGTGTGAGGCTGGGGAGGGAACTCTGGGCAGAGAAGGCTCCCTGCCTGCCCCAGTGGCACGGCCACTCCGACACCTGCCTGCGGCGAGATCGAAACCTCTCCCTGGGTCCGGGAAGGTGCCACAGCTACGGGGTGGGCTACGGGGCCCCGTGCACCACACCAAAGGACCACAGAGCCCACTGGTCAGAACCCCCATGGCTGAGAGCCAATGCATGCCCTGCCTGGGGAGGGGTGCCAGCCGTCCCAGGCCAGGGGCCTGCTGAAGCCTGAGAGGGTTCCGATGACAGAAGACACACCTGGCGGCCCTTCTCACAAGGGCCCACCCCCGTGGGCTCCCACCCAGGGGGACGCCGGCATGTCAACAGGATTGGGGGCCTGGCACACAGGCGTGTACTAGAGGGCTGGGCACGCGCAGCGTGGACCAGGGAACAGCAGCCCGCGGCCTCGGGAGCCCCTCCGCGGACTGGGGCAGACGTGTTTGGGGCAGCGCTAGTTTCCAGACCTGACACCAAGGGGGATCCCACCATTTCTATAGCACACATTGTCACTTCCTGTGCCCCCCGCTTAGGGCCCTGGTGGCTTTTAAAGAAAAAAGGTAAAAAGAGAAAAAGAAAGTAGCAGGGGAGGGGCGGGGTCAAAGGGTCCCTCCTGGTCTTGGGGAACAGGCTGGCTGGGGGGGCTGGGGGGCTTCTCTGGCCCCAGCTGGTAGGGAGGGTCACAGTCACGAGGGAGGTGAGCTGCATGTGTGCATGTCTTCACGTGCGTGCATGTGTGTGTGTGCGCACGCACGTGTGTTTTGGGGGTGGGAAGGCAAGTCAGGAGGGGCTGAGTTCTGAGCCAGCATGTTCCTTAAGCCCTCGTTACGCCGGGATGAGACATGGACACTGAGCTGCTGAACGGCCTGAGACACGGGGCTCCCGGAGTCCCGGCGGGAGTCCCAGCCCAGCCTGCTCCGACCTTGGGGTGGCTGTGGCCAGGGTGGCCCACGACAGCCGGCTGGAGGGTCCTTGGCAGCCGCTGCCCTCTGAGGGCCCCTCCTGGCTCCCAGAGAGGAGGTGGGGGGGAAGGGCCGCGGCTGGAGGAGTTTGAGCTGGCGGCCCCCTGCTGCGGCCCCAGGGGAGGCAGAGGAGGGGCACTGGCGCCGGGCTCGCTCGGCCCCTCTCCAGCCATTGGCTGTGGTCATGTGGTCATGCCGCAGGCCCCCGTGGCTGTCATCCATCCGGGCCGACGGGTGTGGACAGTGTTCACCGTGCCAAGGGAGACTCCAACCTGCCCGGGCCCGGCGGGAGCGGCCACAACAGCTCACTTACTCACACCGAGGGCTTTTTTCCTCTCCCCCACAAGCCGATGACGGCACTTAGGTATTTCCTACCCTGGTCATGAGACTGGGGACTGAAGGCTTCAGAGGCGTCTGTCCTGCGGCTCCGCGAACCACACAGGCTCAGTCATCATTGCTGGGCCGGGACCACATGCCATTGTTCTAGTCACCGTGCCTCCCGCCAGCGCAGGCTGAGGAGCACCGACCTTCCCAGCCTCTCGGCAAAGCCCCCAGCCCCACACACGCCAGGCTGCAGGGGGGTCAGGGGTGGGCTCCCGGGGCAGCCAGGCCTCCCAGGGACACCTGAGGATGGACACTGCTGGTCCCTCTCCTGACACCCCCTCCTCTGCCCACCACGTGAGTGTGGGTGCCTGAGCTCCTGGCCCACTCACGCGCTCCAGGCTGCAGCGTCCACCCGGAGGGGCTTCAGTCACTGCCCCTAGTGGCCCCCTGCCCAGACCTCCCTCCGAGCCCCGGCTCAGGAGGGAGGAAGGAGCTGCTGCAGCCGCCTCAGCACAAAAGACTCAATACGTCCCCATGGAGTGAAGGAGAGCGCGAGCAATCTGGTGAGGCAGCTACTCCTTCTCTGGGCCAGGCCCGGGCAGACAGACCAGCTCCTGCCTGTGACAAGCCAGTGACACCAGCCAGGCCCAGCTGGCAGGCGCTGACCTCCAGCTCTGTGGCTCTTCTGGAGCCCAGCCCCCGGCACAGGAGGACGACCCAGACCCCACACCTAGATCGCCCGGAGCCCCAGGGGCCAGCCACTCACCTTGGCCACAGTCCTCCCCCTGGGAGCCAGCGGGACACTGTTTCTGACACTCGCCGTTCGCAGGGTCGCAGGCCACGCCCGGCGGGCAGCTGCACACCTGCAGGCATCTCGGCCCAAAGGAGCCCGGCTCGCACTCTGCGGGGGTGAGGGAGGGGCTGGGGGGTCAGCGGCCCTGGGAGCTCCTCCTCCCCAGTTGCACCCACCTGACGCCACTCATCCCAAAGCCCCTCCAACGCCCGCGCTCACCAGCCTCACACCGCTCGCCCCGGAAGCCGGCCTTGCAGGAGCAGCTGCCATCCCTCCTGTCGCAGGACCTCGTGTGGGGCTGCACGCACCGGCACTCCTCCGAGCAGCCCGGCCCGAACGCCCAGGGCGGGCAGGCTGCGCCCACAGAACCAACCGTGAGTGGGGCCCGCCTGCCGTGGCGCCCACCGCTCCCCGGCCTGGCGTCCCCGCTCCTGGGATATGCAAGGGCTGTGGAGATTAGGCCCCGGCGGCCACCCCTTCCAGCCCTTTCCAGGAATCACGTGCCACACCTCGCGCCTGGGGCAGGACGGCTGCGCGCGTTTCACAGACGGGAACCAGGACCTCAGCAAAGCCTAGCAACTTGCCCTGGGTGGCGCCACCCCCAGGGGAGAACCCCCTTCTCCTCCCCAAATAATCCTCTCACCAAGTGATGAGAAGCGCTATCTGCAGCCCCCTCTGCCCCTCCAGCCCGCTGCCCCCTTCCTCCTAGCCCCGGGGACGGGTGACCCTGCCAGGGGCCAGGACTTGGCGTCGAGCCAGGAGTCCCTGCAAGCCAGGATAAGCCCAGGGTCCAGAAGCGTCTGCGGGAGGCCTGCCCTGCCCTCGCCTGCAGCCCCCGGCCCCAACCCCCAACAGAGCTAGGCGGCGCCATGGGGCTGGGGACCCCCCACCCAGTGCCCTGGACGTCAGCACAGTCCGTCGAGAGGACGTGACCCAGAGTCCACAGGCCTGGGTGGTCCCAGCCCCACAGCCAGGCTGGCGCCCTCACTGAGCCCCAGTGTCCTCACCCAACCGGACTCTGGGCACCCTCAGCCCTGTGGCCCCCTCAGACACTGGCGGGGCAGTGGGACTCACCAAGGTGGCAGAAGCGTCCGTAGAGCCCTGGGTCGCAGAGGCAGGCCCCGTAGAGGCGGTGGCACCGGCCCCGGTTGGCGCAGTGGCATTTCTTGTGACAGTGTTTGCCATAGAAGCCCTTGGGGCAGCCTGGGGGAGAAGGGACCCCAGTGAGATCCACGGTGGCAGCTGGCGCCCCCGCACGTGGCCCCGCACCCGATGAACCCCTGGATGTGGCCATCTGCCCTGTCCGCCTCGACCCCCAGGGTCTGCAGCAAGGGTGGTGGCCAAGCACCTTCCCTGGCACACACCTGGGGGTGCACGAAGTCCACGTCCACTCTCCCCAGTGTCTGGGCCGCATCAGGGGCACCCAGACTTCCATCCAGGGTGGTCGCCAAGCCCGACCTCAGGACCTCAAAGCAGGACACCTGGCCGACTGGCCAGTACCCCAGGCCCAAGCCTCAGGCCGCCCCAGGCTAGGAAAGCTTCTCCCCAAACGCTTCCCTCCTGCTGCAGTGGGTTGAATGGTGGCCCCCAAAAGCTCTGTCCCTGTCCCAATCCCAGGGACCTCAAGACGAGACCACCCTGCATTGCCCAGGCGGGCTCTGAATCCAAAGACCAAGACGCTTACTGGAGAGGCAGATGGGGAGGTGAGGCAGACGGAGCGGGGCAGAGAGGACAGACAGCACAAGCCCAGGGACGCGGAGCCTGGGAAACTGCACAGGGGCCTGCCAGGCCCTCCTGGGACGCACCTCGCTCAGCTCACCTGCGCAGGTGCCCCGCACCTGCCGGGGAATCTGGTGACCACCCCCCCACGCAGGGCCCTACCTCAGACCTGGGTCTCCACAGTGCAAAGCCGAGCACCAAACTCAGATCCTCTACCTGCCTGAAGTCCCCTGTGTCACTCACACAGCTTCTACCCGACAGGGGGCTCCCAGCCCTCCACACACAGGATCACGTGTGGGTGCCTGAGGATTCCACTGCCGCCGTGCAACCGGCCCAGAGCTCAGCGCGTGGAGCCACTGGGGCTCACAGGCCACCCGGGGCAGTGGGGACAGGGTGTCACTAGAGCAGGAAGTTTGCGGTACCATAGCTACACCCTCCAGCCAGAGGCAGAACTGAAGATGAGAACGTGAAGATGACACGTTAGCCACCCAGGAAAACTTATTCATGTGGACTCTCTAATTCCTCCAGAAATGCTGAAACTTCAGAGTTAGAAAGGACATCAGCTTAATCCCATGCTGCCACACGTAATCCCTTCTGCAAATCCCATCCAGCCATCATCCTGCTCTACTTGAATGCTTCCAGGAACGCGGAGCTCACTATCTCTCCAGGGAAGCCCTGCCAGAAATGCTGTGTTGTAAAGTCTTCCCCGTCGGCTATAGTCAGGCCTCAGGGAAATCAGCAACAGTGAAAAGTCAACGCCTCTCTCCCTACAGGGCCTCGTTCCCGCTCCGCACAGCCGGAGCTCCGGAGGAAGGGAGGCCGGAAAGGAACGGTGTCCACACGGAGCTTGGCATCACCTTCCCTCATCCGGGGGAAGAAAGGGGGCTTAGGAGAAAGCTGAGCACAGAGAGTGGGGAGTGGTGCCTCCCCTCCCTTGCACCCCAGGGATAATTCCAGAAGGGCTGCACGCACCGTCCTCGCAGTGGGTTCCACTGACACCTGGGGGGCAGCGGCAGGTCCCCGTCACGGGGTCGCAGGTCCCACCGTTCTGACAGCTGCAGGAGGAGCTGCAGTTCTTCCCGAAGGTGTCTGGGGGACAAGCTACAGGGAATGACAGGGAAGCACCTGGGTCACTGGCCAGCAGGACTTGAGTCCCCACCACAGCCACGCCCACCCTGAGACCCCTCCTGGGGCTGGAGACACCCGGTTGAGAAGCAGCCCCTACAGCAACAAGGAATGGCACCCGCCCCCGATCACGGCACGCGTGGCCAGTCCATCACCCACCCCTGTCCCTCTGAAGGCCAACACGCCCACTGACCCTTTGGAACCAGCCCGTGGGAGCAGGCAGAGCTGTACAGACAGTCCCGGCCCCAAATACCCGAGACACAGGCACCCCACCCCCACCGCCTGCGGCAGACACCCCGCTGTCCAGCCTCTCATCTGCTGGCTTGTGTTGCTGGGCCCTGGAGACTGGCAGCACGAGGGACAAACGCCTGGGCCTGCTTGTCCCCAGGGCATCCCACAGCCTAGAGCGGCGCCTGGACAGGGTGGACAGTCAGCAGGCACTTGGCAGAGGAACGGACGGACCCACACGGGCCCCCGCCCAGGGCTGGTGGGAGGAGTGAGACCGAATGTGCTGTGCACGGGTCCGGGGGCTTGGGGCCCCCGCCTGGGGCCTCACTCTCGTTGCAGACGAGCCCGGTCCAGCCCTCAGGGCAGTCACAGCCGTCCAGGCCTGGCAGGCAGGTCCCCCCGTTCCTGCAGTCGGCGCAGGTCAAGCTGCAGTCGTGGCCGAAGGAGTCGCCCAGGCAGACTGCGGCAGACAGAGAGGGGCCTCAGAGCCTGAGCTGGGCTCACGGGCACAGGGAAGGGGCACAGGGTCGCCCTGAGCCTGTGAGGCCCCGCAGGGGTGGGGGTGGGGCTGGGAGCAGACGCTGGGGCCAGGAGGAGCCCTGACCTGGGGGCTGGGGCCCAGGCTAGCCCAGCCCAGCCCAGCCCCGCACGAGCTGTGCAAACTGAGTGAGTGGCTCCGCCTCTCGGGGCCTTGGTCAGACAAGGCCATTGCAGGGGTCCTTCCTCATGCCCAGACCCTGGCCCGGGAGGTCACCGGCTACTGTCCCTGGGCTGAGCCCGCCGCTCACCAAACTTCTCTACGAGCGTGTGTTCGCCCCGCAGCTCCGCCTCCTCCTCGTCCGCCCCCACGTAGTTGTCTTGCAGGAGCAGCGGCAGCTCATCCTGGAGCACCCCGACGTGGGGCAGGGGCCGCACGAAGGGCAGCCGGCCGTCCAGGTCCACCGTGGGCTCCTGCAGCGCTGAGGGGCACAGGGGCCCTTAGCCCCACCTGCTACCTGCTGCCCTGCTCCCCGGCCCGGTCCCAGGCCGGGTCATCCCGGCTGCACCCCGACCCACTTCTCGGACAGAGGAGGCGCAGGCCCTGGACACCTGGCCCCTGCCGCCCTCACCCCAGCCTGGCTCTAAGGGCTCTGGGGCTGGGGGCAGCTGGTGTCAGTCAAGGGACATCATCTTGGGGCCTGGTTCCTTCTCTCACCTGGTGGTCAGGATGGAAGCTGGACCCCTGAGGAACACTGTCCTGGAGGACGCCTGTCCCCTCCACTGCTGCCCATGGCAGGGGCAGGGCCTCAGGGGTTCCCACGGGGCCCCCAGCCTGAGTCGGTACAGGCCCAGCGGCGCGGACAGAGAGGCCCCAGGCAGGGCGCGTGTGGGACTGGCAGGAGTACGGGGAGCAGGGGCTCCGCGGGCAGACCCACGAAGGCAGGGACTCACGGGAGCAGCCCCTGCGGTCCTCATCCAGCCGGAAGCCGGCCTCACAGGAGCAGTGGAAGGAGCCGGGCAGGTTGGCACAGAGGTGTTCACAGCCGCCGCGGCCGGAGGCGCACTCGTCCACGTCTGCGGGCAAAGGGGGCTGCTGGGCCCGGGCTGCAGGGCCAGGAGCTCCCCTGCTAGACGGAGGCCCAGGTGGCCATGCTGGGGCCGACGATCACCTCCTGAGCCGGCTGGTCAAGCCCCCCTCTGGCCACAGTGGCCTCCCTGGCCGTCCTCCCACCCCCAGGGTCAGAGCGGCGGTGGCCACCTGTGGGGTGGGTGCCAGGCTGGGAGCAGCAGGGTGCAGGCCCAGCCCCGTGCGAGAGTGGCCACTGACCTCAGGCTGGAGGGAGGGAGTGGCGGGCAGGTCAGCACAGCCCTGCATACAGCAGGCACTCAGTGCCCACCCTCGGGGGGCCAGAGCCAACCCTGTGTCCCTCCCTAGGGTGGCCCTGCTCCCCTGGCCGCCCCAGGGCCTGCCGGCACGGCGGCGCTCACCCTCACAGCCACAGCCATCGGCGCTGAGCCGGTAGCCGGCGTAGCAGCCGCACTCATACCCGCCGGGGTTGTTGGTGCACACCTGCCGGCAGCACGGGGAGTCCGCACAGTCGTCCACATCTGTGGGGCACACGCCATGAGCCTGCTGGCACACGCACACGCGCCCCATGACCCACACACGCCCACACACAACCTCACCGATCGCACACGCGCCCACCTGCAATCTCATGCACGCACACCCACACGCAGTGACACACACACCCACACATGTCCCTGGTGCTGCAGACACACGTACGACACGTCACAGCCTCTGGGCCACCCTGCACGCCGTGAACAAGGTGCTGGGACTGGCGGGCTGGAGGGCGGGATCCCCTGGGAGTCGGGGTCTCCCGGGGAAGAGAGGACCCTCCGCAGCCACGGTGTGGCGGGTGCTACTCCAGGTGATGGAGGGGGCCTGAGAGGGGGCTGAGGGGGCTCGGGTGGGTGCCCGGCAGGCCAAGGCTCTCTGCAGTCCTCCCCGGGGTCGGGACCCTGCCTTTCGCCAGGCTGGCCCGGGGCAGCCAGGGCGGGACAGGGGAGACAGAAGGGACGTCAACCCAGTCCCAGGACCCCAGGGTGGGCGGGGCCGGGCATCTGGGAGGCACCAGCTCGCACCCACGCAGGTCTTCTGGTCGGCGTCCAGCTCGTAGCCGCGGGGGCAGGTGCAGAGGGGCCCCGTGCTGGTGTGGCTGCAGCCGTGGGAGCAGCCGCCGTTGTGGGCCTCGCAGCTGTTCACAATCTCCATCTCGATCCCTGCCACGAGAGCAGCTGCCGTCGTGTGGGGCGGGGCCTGGGGTGACCCCACCACACAGTCCTTCCCGCCCCCGGGCTCTGGGACACTCTGCGTCCCCACCCGGCCCTCCCCTCCCCTGGGGCCCCACACCAGGCTGTGCCTGACTGACAAGGAAGCCCCCTGAGCCACGCAGGCCACGGGGCCTGGAGAGCCACGCCGCTACCCGGCGCACCTCCAGCCTGGCTCCGCCGCCCGCTGCCCACTCACGGTAGCACTGGCGGCCATCAGCACCCAGCTCGTAGCCCGCGTGGCACACGCACTTAAAGGACCCTGGAGTGTTGAGGCAGCCGTGGGCACACTGGGCCAGCCCCATGGCACATTCATCCACGTCTGGAGGGGAGAGACCAAGGGGAGTTCTCAGGGGTGCCGGGAGGGGCCTTTGCCCCACTGAAACCCAGGGCCTGTGGCCGCGTGGCCCAGGTGGTCAGGACAGAATCCCATTGTCCCCAACGACTGCCAGTCACGCCCCCACAGACTCCTTGGGACGAACAAGTTGACCTTCAGTCTGGCCTCACTCTGAGCCCACAAAGCCACCTGCACCCACAGCAGGGGCACCTTTCGCTGGGGAAAGGGGTTCCCACTGTTGGCCAGGCGTGGAGCCACGGCCTCCCGCTCCTGGGGGGCACCCGGCCGCCATCAGCAGGACGCCTTGGAAACTGGCCACTGCCTGCTCCGGACGCACCTCGCTGCTCCCAAGACATCCTGAGGGTCACCAGGCGGCAGAGAGACCCCGCCCCAAGCCTGCGCAGCCCAATCCAAATGTCCCAAAGCCCAAAGCCAGAAACACCGGGAGGCGCGGGGGCGGCATTAATGCGCAGCACAGGCTGCAGGCGTGGGTGCCAGTGCGCAGCGCCCAGCTGGGCTCTGACTCTACACGGCGCGTTAGCAAACAGCTCAGGGAGTGCAGAGCGGTGCGCGCAGACGTCCCTGGGGCTGGGT